CTCGCCGGTTGGAAGAACCTCGCCGGCTGGAAGGAAACCCTTCCAGCCGGCCCATTGGCTCCGGGTATCCCTTGGGATACCCGGATATCCGCCAGGTTTGGGGGGGGAAACGGCCATCCGCAGCCGAATCCGCACCCCCTGGCGGGTATCCGCTGGGACCAGCGGGTATCCGCCAGCAGATAACGGATATCCGCAGCGGATTATCCGCGACCATCTCTACCATTCAATCATTGCCGTGATCCTTGTTACCACTGATCCACTGACCCCAACCAAGTGTCCCACAACAGAATAATCAAAACTGATCAAGTGAATAGTAAGGGCACATGCCATGACAGAATAGTTAAAACAGATTAAATAAATAGTTGCATAACCAAAATCAAGCAGATCAATTCAACAGAGCAATAATGTAAGAATCATCTGGTCTGTTCAAATAACTATTTGCTTCATTAGTTGTAGAATATTTCCACCAAGTTGAACTAGCCTTTTCAACCAACCAAAGTCAGGGGCCCTCCAAAACCAGGGTGGATTTGTCAGAAGTTGTTCAAATCTACCTGGGTCCAAGTCAGCTCACTAATCCTCAGGATTTTTATTATTGATCTTCATCAGCTTTTACCGGTGGTATCCACGTGGTAAAGTTATATTTCTTGCTCCCACAAGACCATTGGTACACCAAAGAGTAAGATGTCTGTTTTTTCTTGAACGGATGATGATCTGGATAAGTGACAGAGAAGATGCTATTTTAGATTGAAGCATGTCATTCTCTTGCTGAAGTTGCTGGAATCCCATTGGTCAATTGTGGCTACCTGACGGGCACTACCTCAGAGACCCAAAGGGCCGTTGCTAAAATACAAACAGCTGGACAACAAATCAGAAGACCAAGTTAGACAAACACGTCAATCAACAAGATGAGCTTATCGGTGGTGAATACGCTAGCGTTCTTGAAAACGAACTGTTCGATCTCGTTTTGTTTGAAATCTTTGACCCAAAGAGGAACTCTAAAGATCACTGAGTGATTGCTAGACTTATATCTTCTTTTGTGTCTTTGAAATCCAATTGTGGCTGCCTGACCGGGACTACCTCACTGATAACGACAAGAGCTCCAACAAGAATAGATCGGCTAATCGGCTGGATGTGGGCACTAA